ATTCAAATACAATTTTCTAAATTCAATACAATTTCCAAAATATTATCACAATTCCAATCTAAATAATAATTCCAAATTCCAAATATTTACAAAAATGTGTATATCGTAAAGTTTGGCAAAAAATTTTCAATTTTTCAAATTCAAAAAAAAAAACAAGTCAAAAACACAAAATTGTGAATCAAATTTAAATTTCAGTCTCAAAATCAAGTCAAAATGTACAGTATATAAACTACTACTGTGTCCAAAAAATACCCGGAATTGTGTTATAAAATGAAAAATCTTTATTTATTCTTCTAAATCTATTTCATCGCCTTCAAAGTAATCCCCTCCCGATGCAATGCACTTATGCCAACGTTTTTTCCAATCCTCGAAGCATCCCAAAAAGTCGTTGGCCGGGATAGCCTTCAGCACCTTCTTCGATTCGGCTTTGATCTGGTCAATCGTGTCAAAACAGTGTCCCCGGAGCGGCCTTTTGAGTTTGCTGAATAGCCAGAAGTCACATGGAGCTAAATCAGGCGAATAGGGTGGTTGCGGAACGATATGAGTCGAATTTTTGGCAAAAAACTCGCGTTTTTGGCATAAAAAATTCAGCGTTTTTGGCACCAATCGAGATTTGACGCGTTTGAGGCCCAAAACATCCTTCAAAATGGTATTGACTGATCCTTTTGATATGCCAATATCATCAGCAAGGTCTCTTATTGTTAATCGACAATTTTCGAGCACTAATTCCTTGATTTTATTGACGTGTTGCCCATCAGTTGATGTGGATGGTCGCCCGGGACGCTCTTCGTCTTCAACGCGTTGTCTGCCTTCTTTGAACATTTTATACCAATCAAATGTTGTTGTTTTTGATGGAGCTTGGTCCCCGTAAGCCTTCTGCAACATTCTCAACGTTTCCGCAGCGGATATTCCATTCAGGAAACAAAATTTAATGGCACTTCGTTGTTGAATAATTTCAGACATTATAAAAATCGAAAAACTCACTTTTGGCGTCTTACAAAATCAAGCGTATTTCAAACACTAATGACATTTATGACTTGAAATTTGACATGGATGTCTATAACAGAGCTGCCAACATAAAAAAAAATCATTTCAGCAAAAATAATTGCCCGCGCATTTTAAATCGACAGATTCCGGGTATTTTTTGGACACAGTAGTATTAATCAATTATAAATATTATTTTGGTTCGTTTGGTATTTGACGGAATTTGTTTCCAGTCACTTCGTCACAGCACTCGCGTTGGTTCCCGGCCATACACTTCTTATCACAGCTGGATTCCATAGTACTCTCGTGTCGCTCCGCCACCCTGAGGCATTACACGTCAATCTCTCGTCTCACCCCAAGTTTCTGTGAACAGAGTATTCCATAAGCTTTTTATATCATAAATAAATTACAAAATTATAACCTGGATTGGTGATTTCATTTTTCCTTGATAAAAAGAAATCGCCAAAAACAAAAATTCTCCTCATCAGCGCCTTATCTTTCACCTCAGCATGTTCAATCGTTCAAAACAATCGTCAGGCAGTCTCACAAGCTTTGATTTAAATTCCCATGTCGAAATTGTTGGATCGATAAAAAGTGCTGCAAAGTTGAACGCTCTACATGCCCATATGAATGACGAGTTCCTTGCATACTCCGTTTTGCAAAATGGAACGCGAATGAATTCTGGGTTCCTAATGGTTCTGACGCCCGTATTCAATGACATTTGACTCCGTATGCAGCTGGAACTATATCTCCCGGTGATTAATTTGTGAATAAACAGGATTGCCATGTTAATCCTTCTTCTTTGTAGAGACACCAATTCCAACTCCGCACACCTAATCAAATACGATGGAAGCACATAATTGTTTTCTGCTCTGGTTTTGTAATCTTCATGGAGATAGATTACAGCCTGACGCTGCACACTCTCTATGAAGTTCGTGTGTGTTATATTTCTCGGAGACCAGATTGTAGATGCGAACTCCAGATTAGAACGAACAAGGGCAAAATAAAGCAGTTTAGCGTTGCCCAAGTCAAATTTGTTTTTGCATAATCTTTAAACAAGTTGGAGCATTATAGTTGATTTTTGTTTGACAAATTCATGATGAATCGTAAAGCTAAGCTTAGGATCCATATACACTCCAAGATCACGGATTTGGGTAACTCGCTTGATCTTCTGTCCATTGATGAAATAGTCACTCATGATGGGATTTCGTCGATGTGAAAATGTCATTACACAACATTTAGAAATATTCAACTCGAGACCATTGTTCC